TTGTGAAAGGCTTTTGTCTATTTCTACGATTTTGTTGGTTCCATTGATTTGATTTCTTTTACGAGACATTAAACTATTTGCACGTCCCTCCCTCAAGTAGTTATTCTAATCTACTGTCCTATTATGGCTGATTTCTAACTGAAGTTGGCAAAATTCAGTCAATGTCTATTCCTGACATCACAGATAGATAAAATGAACAACACTCAGGAAAGAAAGACATGAGCTTTCAAACCATGTTTTGTTTTTCAACATTTTTTTTCACAGCAGAAACGTACGTAACAACGCCTATAGGAGCTTTGTTTGAGACAGAAGTTAACTTCATTGAATGATTTTGAGAACAAAATCAATTGTTATTAAATATTCTTTTATCCTAAAAGAATCTTATGGCATCTTCTTCATCATTAGAAGTAATTTCCAAATAGTGTAGTCCATCGTACTAAAAAAATATGGTGAAATATAGCAAACAAACAAAAAAAAAAAAAAAAGAAAACTGGAAATCTCAAGCCACGATATTTGGTGTTTGTTGTAGCATTGTTTCCTTCTCATTTTTCCTTCATTTTTTAACTGACAACCCTCTAACAGAATAGTTTACTTATATTTTATTCACTTCAATTCAGTTAATTTTTTATAACTAGATAATTTGTAACAGCTTGTAGTTATAAAAGGATGAACTTATTTCTAAAATTTTATGCTGTATATAATATATGCTTATGCACATTTATATACATTTATAAAGTTAACTGAAACAATTAACTATATAATCTTGTTATTTTATAAAATAGAAAATTTTAACTTTTAACAGTAACATATATACCATTCCATCACATTATTACTTTAAGATGCCATATACATTAAAAGTATTACCTTTAAGATGGTACCATCCTAAATGTAATACTTCTAATGTATATATTGTTACGAATTTGGTATTTAAAAAGCTAATGTTAGTTCAATTATAAATTAAATGGTTTTATTTCTCGCGCAGTGCAGCGCGTGACGAATATTAAAAGAAAGCTAAGCCGGAAAAATTAAAAATACAAGAGCGCGTGCGTTAAATAAATAAATATCTCTTTTTGATTTCGAGAAAGTACTGGAAAATTCTAGCGCGTGATTTTAAAATCTTATAAAAGGAGGAAAACATCTCAGTTTGTAGTAGTTGCTTAGTTTGTTGTTGTTTAGAAAACTGCCGTTGTTGATTATAGCGAATTCGCGGATTAGCGTTCTTTAGCTGTTTTGAATTACGTTCTATTGTACATTTGAAGTAGTTAAAAGATAACTACTGTGAGATATTGTGAATACTGCATGATAATTTGAGAAAATTTAAGCATTTCTGTTGTGATAATAATAAATTTTTGTTCATTTTTCATCGGACTTGTGCATTCATTTCATAACAAACCCGTACGCACGCAACAATTTTTGGTGTCAGAAGTGGGATTTGAATGCCAATAACAAGAGGGATGGAAGAACAATTGAAACAGCTCATTACTGCTTTTGCTGCTTTCCAAGAAAAGATGGAAGCTGGCCAAACATCTTTTAAAGAAGAAATTAAAGAGAAAATGGATGCTGGTCAAAGGTCCGTTAAAGAAGAAATGAAATTGGGCCAGGAATCCCTCAAGGAAGAAATGAAAACGGCACAGGAACAAATGAAGTTGGGACAGGAATCCGTTAAAGGAGAAATGAAATTGGGCCAGGAATCCGTTAAGGAAGAGATGAAATCTCTTAAAAATGAGATGAAAGCAGGTCAGGACGAAATGAAAAGAGAAATTACCTGCGTAATAGAAAATAAATTTGAGGCTATGGAAGGCAGAATAGACGCGGTTGAAACTAAAGTTGGACAAATAGAAGAAAGAGTTTCTTCGGTAAAGAACAAGTAGAAGAAAGAATTTCTTCTGTAAAAGAACATATAGAAGAGAGAGTTTCTGCCGTCGAACAACAAATTGATGATAGGGTTTCTGCTGCCGTCGCCAAAGAAGTTGACAGCCTAAAGAAGTGCATAGCGACGGTAGGAAACAATTCTGAAGGTTTCAAATTTTTATCGATGCCTGCTCGTTCCGTTCTGAAACTATCTACATATGATGGGAAGACCTCCTGGCAGGTGTATAGGACACAATTTTTCTATCGTTGCGGATGCGAATGGATGGGATTCCCAAGCTAAGGCCTGTCATCTCGCCGCTTCTCTGAGAGCAGACGCAGCGGATATCCTGCAGACGCTTCCCGAAAACAAAGGCTAGATTTCGAAGCTCTATCCGGCGCTTTGGAGCTGCGCTTTGGCGAGAAATGTTTAAAAGACTACAGCAGGCTCCAATTAAAATCTCGTCAACAGAAGCTCACCGAAACACTTCAGGAGCTCGCCACGGATGTTGAAAGGCTGTCACATCACGCCTTTTCGGAGTGCCCGACAGAAACAAGGGAAATCCTGTCCCTGCAATATTTCATCGATGGCATCCGGGACCCTGAAATACAGAAAGCACTGCGAATGGCGGATGTTAAAGATCTGAAAAGCGCTTTAGTGTATGCCATGAAATTTGAGGCAGCCCAGCAAGCAACTCTTAGGGATCGCTACCCAGTCAGAGCTGTGCGAGTCCACGACCCAGGGGACCAATTGATGGCTCGTTTAGATGATTTATCCAGACAAGTCGATGCTTTGATACGGAGTAGCAGTGAGAACAAAGTGGCTGTAAGATGTTGGAGATGTGGTTCTGAAGGTCACCTACGACGGCATTGCAGAACACCCCAGGGCACGGATAATAAAACGGATGAGTTGACAAGACCAGTGAATGCTTTAAGACGGAATAGTGGTGAAACAAAACCGACCCTAAAGTGCTGGAATTGCGGTGTTGAAGGCCACCTACGAAGGAACTGCAGAACTCCCCAGAGCACGGAAAATAAGGCATACGATTTAAACAGACAATTAAATGCCACGGGAAGGAAAAGGACTGACAAGAAACCAAAGTGCTGGAACTGTGGAGCTGAAGGCCACGTACGAAAGAATTGCAGAACACCCCAGGGTACGAAAATTGAGACAATTTCTGAGCAACGACGCAGGAAACAAATTAATGACCATATCAAGGAACGGAGGTTGCCAGATAATGAAAAACCCTGTTTTTAAAGCGCTTAAGATCTCTATAGTGAGTGGCAACAATAACGGACTGTCCATCAATGGGAATATCGATGGAGTTCCTTGCAATATGATCATTGACACAGGAGCTAATGTTACCATCATTAGGAAAGATTTAGCTGAACAGTTTAAAGATAAACTTATTTGGACGCCATCCTGTGTTACCCTTCAGACTGCGTCTGGTGACAAGATCGACATAACTGGGAAGTTAAACGTAAACATCACGTTTGGAAGTGCCGCCTACCATCACACGGCATATGTGGCGGATATTACAGATCCATGCATACTCGGATTGGACTTTTTAAGGAAATACAATTTTTCCTTAGATTTCAAAAACAATAAGCTGCTTTCAGCATCTGATGGCATGACTATCCATCCTCAAAAGGGATCCTCGCCTGGAAATGTCGACGCCTTGTCCGAAAGATCGAGCTCGGGAAGCTGCCGAAATCATACCAGGGTCGAAAAGAAACTCAAGACTACCAGCTATTCTCCATCCCAGAAGCTCTTCGGTCGAGACCTTCGTCTGCCTTGTGACCGCCTGTTTAGTCGCCCTACGGATGCGCCTTCATCGCCTGAGGAACACATCCAAGATGCCCAGGCCCGGTTTGAGGGGATGCACCGTTCTGCACGAAAGCGAGTCAACTTGGCGACGGAGAAAATGAAGACCAGATGCGACACAAGAGCTACTAGACAGAGATCCAACAAAGGAGACAAGGTGTGGTTGTGGAACCCGATTCAACGAAAAGGACTGAGTCCTAAATTACAGTCACCTTCGGATGGTCCATATACAGTGCTGAACACGAATGACGTCGTGGTTCGGATCCGTGAGTCTTCGAACTCTTACGACAGGTTAGCTTATTACTATGGCCATAGTACGTAATGTAAATAATTGTAAATAGTATCAGACCATGGTCCTTTTTGTTTATAAATGTGTATTTAGTATTTGATTTGCATTTAGTATTTGATTTGTATTTAGTATTTGTTTTGTATTTAGTATTTGATAGCATTTGATTTGTTTAAGTTAGTTATTGCATTTATTGTTTATATTGTTTGATATTGTAATGTAATGTAATGTTTATGCCTCAGTTGCATTTATGCCACAGTTGTAAGTTTAGCTTCCTGTCCAGGGATTGTACTGCCCGGGACGTGCAGTCCTTGGGAAGGGGGCAGTGTTACGAATTTGGTATTTAAAAAGCTAATGTTAGTTCAATTATAAATTAAATGGTTTTATTTCTCGCGCAGTGCAGCGCGTGACGAATATTAAAAGAAAGCTAAGCCGGAAAAATTAAAAATACAAGAGCGCGTGCATTAAATAAATAAATATCTCTTTTTGATTTCGAGAAAGTACTGGAAAATTCTAGCGCGTGATTTTAAAATCTTATAAAAGGAGGAAAACATCTCAGTTTGTAGTAGTTGCTTAGTTTGTTTGTTGTTTAGAAAACTGCTCGTTGTTGATTGTAGCGAATTCGCGGATTAGCGTTCTTTAGCTGTTTTGAATTACGTTCTATTGTACATTTAAGTAGTTAAAAGATAACTACTGTGAGATATTGTGATACTGCATGATAATTTGAGAAAATTTAAGCGTTTCTGTTGTGATAATAATAAATTTTTGTTCATTTTTCATCGGACTTGTGCATTCATTTCATAACGAACCCGTACGCACGCAACAATATTAATGAAAAGTATTATATTAATGAAAAATACTTTTCATTAATATAATGTGCATGTATATATTAATGTATATTATATTAATGAAAAATACTTTTAATGTATACACTAATGTAATATAATGAAAATATATATTGATGAATATAATTTCAAAATTCATGTCAAAATTTTCATTAAAATAAAATATCGTATTTACATATTTTATACTTAATTACAGGTTCCTCCTTATGCTTTGATATTTATGTGTTGCACTTCATATAGAATACATTCTATATATGTTCTTAGACTTTTTAACGATTCAGTAGCTATCTTCTTCCTGTTTGCAGCTCTGAATTATTTTGCAGACAAAAAATGGATGTGGGGCAGCATTTTCTTTAGGTAATTTACTTAGCATATGTATTTGTTATATAAAAGTTATACAGCTCAATTACATAAGTAAATTTTTATTTTCTTTTTCATAGCTTTGCTGTTTCTGTTAAAATGAATGTTTTGTTATTTGCTCCTGGACTTCTTTTTGTTCTACTGCATTCAGTTGGATTGCTTAACACTTTCTGTTGTATTGCAGTTTGTGCAGTTGTTCAGGTAAGGCATTTCTTTTTAAATATTGTTTGGGTAGCAGAACTATAAATCTGTTCTGTTGTAACACCATTTTTAAACAAGTCAGTATGTTTCAGTCAAATTGCTTTAATTGTTCTTAAGAGTATTGCAGCATAAGAAGTTTCATTTTGCCTGTGCACAGTGTCATAGAAATATAAATCATTCTCTTTGTATATGTTGTATTTTGCAAGTTAAATAATAAAATTCTCTGCAAATGATAAGTGGCTTTTATTTAGCTCATGGTTTTTGTCACTATAATCAAAAGGTTACAGCCGAAAACGTCGCGGAGAAAACAACGCAAGGCAAAAACGTCGTGCTACAAAACATCATGGGAGAAAACATCGTGGTACAAAACATCGTCGTCGAAAATAAAGCGGTTCAAAAACTTCGCAGTTTAAAAACATCGTCGTCGAAAATATCGTGGTAAAAAATAAAGTATCTACAAATCATCGCATGACGATAACATCGCAGACATGCTTCTTTCAGGCTTTAATAACTGTAAATGGATATTCCCATATTGATTTGTGATCGCAAGATGGAAAGAAGGATAATTTTTACTTTCATACTTTTTATTAACTAATAAATTTTTGTTGAGAAAATAAGAACGAAACTTAAGCATAGAAAATTAATGCAACTTATAGCAATTAATAGAATTTTAAACCGACATAGTTAACTAACAAAGGCCATTAATAAATCATTTTTATAAAGTTTTTACTGGTAATTTTTCATGAAAAGTATAATCTATAATATGCATTTAATTTTTTATGCTTAAGTTTCCTTCTTACTTTTTCAGCAAACATCTATTAGTTAATAAAATATGTGAAAATAAAAATTATCCTTTACATACTGCACTCACAAATCATTATGGGAATATCCATTTACAATAATTAAAACCTGAAAATAGCATGTCTGCGAAGTTATGGTCATGCGATGATTTGTAGATACTTTATATTTTACCATGATATTTTCGATGACGATGTTTTTAAACTGCGAAGTTTTTGAACCGCTTTATTTTCGACGACGATGTTTTGTAGCACGATGTTTTAGAACTGCGATGTTTTCTCCCACGATGTTTTGTAGCACGACGTTTTCGTCCGCGATCTTATCGGCGGACACCAATCAAAAGTATGGCACTAGTTTTTAAATTGTTGCCTAATAAGCTATTGAGCTCAACTTTTGCATGCAATTTCTTTATGGATGACGATAAGGTGTAGTGAAACATTTTTTTTTCCTATTTTTTTTTTTTTTTTTTTTTTTTTTTTTTTTTTTTTTTTTTAAATTTAGTGTTTAAAAGATTTTACATACATAACTTTATTTTACAAAAAAAAAAAAAAAAAAAAAAAAAAAACCCCACTCAGAACTTTACTGTTTGCACTATCAGATAAAAACAATTTCATGTAATTTATGTAAAATTTTTAGCATGATTTCTGGGTGAAATTTTGAAAATTATTAATTTTTTCTAACAATTTGATGCCTACATCTAAAAATCATCAAAATCTAAAAATGTATTAGTATAAAGTTTTTAAATTCTCACAAATTGTAAAGCCAATTAGTTGCTGTCTTGAGGGAAAAAAAAAAAAAAAAAAGGAGGGTCATAAAAGAATATAAATTAAAAAATTAATAAAAGAATATTAATTCAGTGATTTTCTATGCTTAAAAAAATATACTGCAGACTGCAAGTAGAAGGTGAAGTTGCAGTTTTATCTTTGGCATCATGTAGTTTGCTTGGAGTTTTGAAGTTATGATATTATCATACATTGTGCTGTTTTTTGTGCTTCTGTATAAACTTCTGTGCTATTATTTGTTTGTTTATTACTCACTTTCTCTTGCTAGAAAAAAATTATGTATAAAGACAGGAATTTTATTGTGGAAGTCTGCTATTTTATAAATGCTCATTATTTTTCTTTCCTTTCTTTATGGATAGATTTTGCATTTATAATTCATCTCCTTTTATTATTCCTATCTGATTGGCATTTAAAATTATTAGAAATGAAATTTGCAGTACCATTTTTAATTTTACCCATTTTACAAGTTTATAGACTTTTTAAATAATTTTAATGCAGAGTAAGCAATAAAATATTTTATCATGAAGCCGTAACTAATAAAGAGAATTTGTGAAAGTCAAGCAGTGGTTATTTCTTGTTGAGAAACAGTTTTTCAGTTGGATAATTTTTATTAATATTTGTGATTTGGTCTAAAAGGGAAATTAAAAAAATAATAAATAAAGAAATTTTTTTTATAAAATAAGCTTTTATTTAAAACTTTTAATTCATAAACTAAAAAGATAAAAATAATTTATCATATAGTTTAATAGGGACAAGAGATTAAATAACTCTCTAAAAATACACCTATAATTTTATATCAAATAATGAAAGTGTGGGGTTCTAAATTATGAAATCTAGTAACTAAGTTGCATCATCAAAAGCCTAAGCCATTATCTTATAAATTTATCAAGTGTGTTAAATGCTTTTACAAGATGCATTCATAAAGTAAGTGGATAATTTCTTGTAAAAAAGGAAAAGATTTCTGAGCTTCAGATAAACTTATCTCCTTCCAAAAATTCATTAGATGGGTCTGTACAAATTTTCCAGTATTTCTTCAGGACATTGAAACACTGCTTATAGGCACTGGAACTCTCTTTCCTAAAACATTAACATCTGATTTAATATCCAAGATGTTTTTGAATCTTTGTCCTTTCATGTCCATTTTAAGTTTCAGAAAAGGAAAAAAAATCAGCTGGCAATAAGTCAGGAAATATGGTGGGTGATTTATTACTGCAATTGAATGTTTAGCAAGATATTGTCATACAAAACGATGTTGTGTAGGGCCACCATCATTGTGTAAAAGAAATTGCCTAGAATCAAAAAGTTCCTTTGTAACTCATCTATTTCTTAATTTTCCAGTGAAATGAAAACAGCACTTGCTTGTAAAAATACTGATTAATTCATTGATTTTCAGAGATAAATTAATGATAAATAAGTCCTTGCAATCAGCATTATCTTAGTCTTTCATTTCAACATCCTTTATGTATATATATGAGAGAAAATGGCTCTTTTCATCTGCACTTTTGTCTTTTTGTTTCTGGGTTGTATTGTAGACACTAGGTCTCATCCCTTGCTCTGATAAACTTTAAGAAATTGTTTTCTTGTCTCACGGCAGTTAGTAAATCTTCAGGTGATGCTTTTGTGTATTCTTTTTGCTGTTCTATCAAAATCCAAGGCACAAATCAAACACAAAGTTTCTTCATTTTCAGATTTTCAATTAAATTAACCGACAGCTTTTTTTGCTTGTCTAAAAATTGCTGAGTTTTACACATCTATCAGCTTTTACCAAAGAATGCATTTTTTCTATCCACATTTCCTTTATTCTTTGAAGTTGAGGAGTGCCCTATCTTTGGTTCATCTTCAATGCATTCATGCTGATATTTAAAGTAGTTGTATCACTCGTAGATTTGTGTTCTTGATAATGGTGCTTCACCATGTACTGTTTGAATTATCTCTAACATTTCAGAACAGATTAACCTAATGTGTAACAAAATTTAATGGTATAATGTTGTTCCTTCTCAAAGCAAATGTTTTTGTACTATGCCTTCATAGTAAATGAAAATTACTCCATTTTGTTATGCAAATGGCAAAATAACCAGTTTAAACTGGCTTTAGCAGTAAACGAGATGTCATTCTTTCAAAATATACATTTATCCTTTCACTTTTTTATTTTATCATTTGGACTTAATTTTTCTGAAAACTGCAGATATATTTCGTAAGGAAAATTATTTAGTCTCTTATCTCATTAGGCTGCATGCTAAATTAATTTTATCCTTTCTTAGTTCATGAATTAATTTCTGAGTTTTAAACAGAAACTCTTTTTATAAAAATTATAAATTCCTTTTTTTTAAAATTTTGTAATAATCTAGTAGCTGTTTTAATATTATTACTGGGAAAATAAAGAATTTGTGGAAGCCAATCAAAATCAGTATCTTATTAACATATTAGGTAATCCACAACATTCAAAAAGAAGTTTTAATATAATTTTATAAATGATTATAGAATTACTTGATTCACGAGGTATAGAATTTGTTCCCAAGCAAAAAATATGAAAACATATTAGCTGATTTTTAAAATTTTTTCCTCCTAACAGAAGGTTTATCAGAAAATTCTGAACAATTATTTCAAGTTTCAGATGCATGCAAATATTCATTTGAGATATGTATGGCTGTCTCTCTTTATCACTACATTTATAAACATCTGCTCATCCAAATTAACTGAAACAAAAGTGTCTCATGTCATTATAAAGTGAAAAGTGAGATGCGATTGTGTAAACAAAGCTATCAATAAAGTTCATTTACAACGCTGTATTTTGTATGAAGTTCAGCTAGGAGGAAATGCTACAGAAGCATGTCAAAATTTAGTGAAAGTTTTTGGTGGAGATGCAGTTTTGGAAAAATGTGTAGGAGTTGGTTTTAAAAATTAAAAGCAGATGATTTTGACCTTAATGATTAGCCATGTACTGGGTGGCCATCTTTGATAACTGACAGTATTGGCAAGACCATGACAAAGCAAGATATTTTTTTGGCAATATCGATAATCACGGAATAGCTTAATTCAGCTCAGTAAACCATTTCACCCTGTATTCAGAAACTAGAATTGGGCTATGAATATTCCAGATGGATGCCTCATAGTGAGAAAAATGTACATGATCAAGTCATTATATGCACATCTCTGCTTGCTCAAAACAAAAATGAACCCTTTTTGAGCCAGATTGTAACTGGGGATGAAAAGTGGATAACCTACGATGCATCATTAGGAAAAGAGCATACTGTGAGCGTGACAACCTGCCTCCTCTACCTCCAAAGTGGTTTTAAGCTTGAATAAGAGAATGCTGTGTCTAAAGTGGGATCTCCAAGGATAAATACATTTTGAGCTTTTGAAACGTAAAGAAAAGCTCAATTCGGAGAGATACTGTCACTAAATGGATGATTTAAACTCTAATGATGATTTAAACAGATGATTAAACTCTAATGATTTAAGCTCAAAAGAAATAGGAAGCATCATGTTCAATAGAAAGCAATGTGATAATGCCAGACCACATGCTGCTTTGGTGACTCTTCAGAAAATTGCAGAGCTAGGCTGGGAAATTTTGCTGCATCCACCATACTTCCCTGACCTAGCATACTCTGATTATCACTTGTCTCTCTCCTTGCAAATTTTTTTTAGGGAGAAAATTTTGAAACAGATGCGAATGTCAGCCAAGGTCTTTCACCGGTAAGGACAAAATATTTTTCAAAAATGGTATCTGTAAATGATCATCACACTGACAAGAGATATGTAAGTATATTGTACCAAAAATATTAAATGTATGAAAAATGTATTATTTTCTTTCCCTTTCTAAATGGATAGAATTTTCTGGTAGACCTCATATGTTGTGCAATGATTTCAGAGGCAGAGAACTTTATTTGGAAGCAATTTTTTCCATCACATAAAAGCGGCATAGAAATATCTATGATATCGTGTTTCTGATTGATGTCATACACTTTTCTAGATAAATGGTTCTTAAATTTTATCAACTGATGAACCTCTGTGTACAGTATAGTCAAAAATGATTATAATTTTCAGAAGAAATATTTTGTTTGTAAGAACAAACAGAATATTTTCAGTTTTTAAGAAAATTAAAATTTTTGGGAACTTTTTAAATTTTTAGGAAAAAGGGTAATTTTTTAAAATATATTTTTCTATTTGTTTTATTTACATAAGTATGAAAATAAAAGGTAGAAATGAAAAGTATTTGAGAAGGCAATACGAAATATATAAACTAATTAAACTAATTTAATATTTATCCATTGTAATACAGAACTTATGTAATATTGCAGTGTGAACCTGCATTTGGTTTTATAATTCTAATTTAGATATTTTCTGAAAGTTCTTTTAATAAAAAGATTAAAATTTTAAAATTACAAATAACTAACTAAATAAATAAAATTGAATTAAATAAAGTTTTGTAGCAAATAAAATTGTATTTTCTTATTGTACAGCAGTGTTACAATTAATACACAGAAATGAAAAAATGAAATACACTAGTCAACTTTCATTAAAAACTGAAGACTGCACGAATTCGAAGAATTATGTCGTCGTTGAAGAAGATTGTACAGTCTTTTGAAAAAGTTATGAATATTGCAGATATAAGTGTCTTTACTATGGTTATATTCACCCTGATTGTTTATTTATATTTTAATAAAAAATATAACTGCAAGTTTTTTTTTTTTTTGTTAGTATACAAGTATGTGTATTTGTGCATAAGTGATTAAAAGGGCTTTATCGATTACTAATGCTAAAAAGCTGCCAACCTATTTCATTGTTTTTTATGCTGCTAATTAAGGAAATTATATTATTTCTAATCATTATTGTATTAATTTATGTGTAAAAATATGTTTTTTGTTTCTTAATATTATCTAATTAAAATTGCAATTACCTGTAACCATAGTTAATGTAAAATTGTTAATGTATAATTACCATTTAATAAGTTAATATTAAAAATAATAAAAAATATCATGTATTTTTAAAAAAATTATTTATTTATTTTTTATTCCTATTTATTGCTATGCAGAATTATTTGTTGTTATTGTTGAATTTTATCTATTTCCCTGAGCTTTTTTCATTATTTTGGAAAATAGTTTTCTCCCTTTCATGCAAAGAATAACATTTCTAGTAATTAATATTTAAATAATTACACTTGTTTGATATTTTGTGAAATTTTATTGTAATCAAGTATTTTTTACCCTCCTGTTAGGTTATTGTTGGTCTTCCATTTCTTATTGCAAATCCTGTTAGTTATGTTTCTCGTGCCTTTGATCTGGGAAGAATATTTTTGTATCAGTGGACTGTGAACTGGCGATTTTTGCCTGAAGAAGTATTTATAAGTCGCTATTTTCATTTCACCTTACTTTTTCTTCATTTGGTTATACTTGCTGTTTTTGCTCGAAAATGGATAAAGTGAGTATTGATCAATAAATAATATAAGGTGCGGTAATTAAATAATAAGGTGAAGGTAAGGAAATATTGACATTGGACTGACATAAACATATTCCACAGATTTCATGCATGTTGTTATTACATGTAATTTGAAATGAGTGTATTTTCTTTTGCTTGTAAAAAGAATTAATTTGAAATTCAAGTAAAGTCTTAATGTAAAAAAAAAAAAAAAAAAAAAAATGAAATGTAACTGCCAATCAATTTTGATGTTTACTGAATTTGTTTGGAAAGAGTGCATGTCTCTGCACATATGCACAGGGTTCATAGCGGTCCTTATAAGTGCTTATTTTTTTTCTTAAAATGTGCTTGAAAAGTGCTTATAGGTGCTTATTTTCTTAACTAAAATGTGGCTATTAACCCTGTATGCAGCTTCTGTGAAGATGATGTTGAAAATGGAGGTCCCTGCATATAAAGAACTGACAGAGATATAAAAAAAAAAAAAAAAAGAAAGAAAGAAATATTCAGCATCAGATGTGTTTCTGAGAATATCTAAGCCATTAGACAGATTTAGTTAAGCAGTTTAAATATGATAGTATTAGACAATTAATAATTTGGAAGTTAATTGCAAAATTGCAGTAATCTGGCCCTTTCGGGATTTCAACAATGCTGGATTATCAAATGCCCTAAATTAACAAACTAAAATTTTATACTATTTTAAAATAATTTTTTTCATGTTATTGAAGGTATTGAGAACTGAAAAAAGTTCTCTCTATTAATTCTGCAAACTCATTTAAGGAATATAATTTACTGGTAAATAAATTTAGTGTCAGTAGAATTATAATTGAGCAGTTTTTGCTTTGAGGGCTTTATATTGTCAAATAAGTCATACTGAATAAAGCTTAAATAACCACTTCATAGATTCCTCTATTTAGTGGGAGGAAGTGAGACAGAGTCCATAGAATGTGAATAGTTATTTTTTCTGCAATATAATATTTTTTACCAGCATCAAGCGATGCTTTGGTTGAAACTTCTTTTTCATCACTTTCTATTTCTTTTGTGCCTGCAAATTCAATATATTCAGAATTTTGCCATCTTTTGTTCCTTTTTTCTTCCAAAATTGGTTTATTTTTATTATTTTCATTCCATTCAATAATTTCATTTTCTGAAATCATGTTTATTCAAAGGAAGGCTTTCAGTGTTGTTCAATGGATCATTAGTATCTTCACTGCCTTCGATAAAATTTTGCTTATGGAATTTTGTCACAATTGTTGCTAAGCCTTATTCATGAAACTGATCTTTTTTTAATATATATATATATATATATATTCACATTTTTTATTCTTTGACTTCAAGTGAAAACTTGACTTTTGACTCCTTGACTTCAAGGAAAACTGCAAACCAGTTTTCATCTTTACCCCTTCTCTTTTTGAACAGATGAAGTAAAGTTATCATTCATGACAAGATTTTGAATTTCTCAGCATGATCTTGATTCAGAATGATAATTAGTGGATTGAGAAATTCTATTGTTACTGATGATGATCCACGATGACTTACTTACTGATCCATGATGCTATGTTGTATATTTTAGAACAGTGATAAAACACCTCCAGAGGATAGTAGTAAAATCTCAGAAGGCATAGCCAGTGGGAACAATTTCACCTTCACCTGAGTACTTTGGCTAATTCAGTGCTTTATGTAAAACTATTTTCATTTACAGTGTAGCACTTGAAAGCTGTGCCCACTTATTTGATTCATCCATGCGATTTTTTTAACTTTCCTTGAAGTCTAATAGTTCCATATGATTTTGAGACACTGTGACAAAAGATTTTGACTGAAGTATGAAAGCTTATGGTATCATGTATACTTAGGAACAACCCTGGCTTCAGCATATTTTGAATCTGCAGATCATTGTATTTAACAAACCCACATAAATTAAATGCATTAATAACCTAAAACAAAATATAGAGGGCTTAATTTTTAAAATTAGAAGTACTGGAACACTCTCAAAAGCTATCAGAAAAGATTAATAATAATTGAATAAAATTATAATCAATCAATAATAAAATAAAATGTAGAAATGTAAATGCAAAGTAAATAGGTTAAATTAATGACTAATAGTTAGACGGCAAATTAAAACACCAAATAAACCTGAGGCTTTAGATAGATTTACAATATCACTCAAAAACTGAGAAGCCTACTGAAGCCATTAATGAATTCTTGTTATTTAGTAACTATACCTTATATGAATTTATTTTTAATCATGTGAAATGTAAGTATTGTTTTTATGCTTTTTCAGTAAATTGTATAATGTTAAATAGTTTTTAATTTTTTTTCTGAAAAAATAATAATAATAATAATAATAATAATAATAATAATGTATCATTACATAACTTTTTTTTGATAAAATTTGATAAAATTTATAGTTTTTTAAAAGCAGAAAAATTCTTGCCGTTCATATAATTGCTGATTATTTATTATACGCCTTTCTGAAATATTTTCAAAAAAGATATTTATAGTCATAATTTTTAATCTTATCATATTTTAAATGTATGCATTTTATTATTTTGTTCTCTGTCATTTATATAAAATTTAGTATTATGTCAGAAAATACTAATTTTGTCAGTTATATATGAGTAACAAACCATGAACCAGATTCATTTATTAACAAATAAAACTAACATTTATGAACGCCTAGATATTAAAAATGTTTTTCTTTAAAATATTTTATTGACTAATTTATTCTGCCTAAATTTTAACTGCTTTTAATTGCATCCTTATTTTTTGATTTGAATTATCTGGTTGTAACAAAAGTTTCCCACCAAAAAAAAAAAAAAAACATTCTTAATAAAGTTAGGGAAAGAAACATGAAATCAGTACCTTTAGTGCAGGTAGCAATCACCTCCCAAATGTACGATATTCTTCCAATGTTTTGGTAGTTTTTCAAAGCCTTCAGCCCAGAAACTTGGTGGCTGCGAGTCCAAAAACAGATCTACCTCATTTCAGACATCCTGTGCAGAATAGAGATAGGTAAGAGGTAGCTGCAGGTGTAAAAAAAGGTAAAAGTCCGAAGGAGCAATGTCGGGGCTATATGGTGGATGTGACAAAAAATTCCATTTAACCCTTTTGGCTCGATTTTTGCATAATTAAAATTTAATTATGAAAAGTATTTTAATTTAATGTTGACATACTAAAAGAAGTGTAATATGAGTTTAAAATTTACCATTTCCTGGAAATCTCTCGGGACAATATGCCCCATTCATATTGTCAACTGGAACTATTTGTCCCAATCATCTAGGATATTATCCTTTCTCAGAAAACAAAACTAAAATTTGTGGTAATATATAATGTGAATGTTACAAAATGTAACATGCACCAGTTCATATACAACAACAATTTTCATATATGTTTCATAAACATAATATATCAGGATGTAGTAATTTGATCACTGATGGGAGATATTAACCCATTGTTCAGTATGATTGGGACAATATATTCCACAAAAAGATGTTATTGAAAATTTCTTAAATCTGACATTAAAAGAGTTAAATTATTACTTAATAAGAACAATAAAAACTATTTCTTATTAAGCATGCCCTTAGATATAATTGCATTTACTGTAAAAAAATAATAATAATAGATAAATCAAAATTTTAGTAATTGATGTACTCAAAAAAAATAAGTGCACCATTTGCAATTTAAAAATGTTGCCAGATTTCTTTAGTCATATATTTGTTCCCTAATTGCTTAAAAATACTGCAAATGAAAAACCCTTTTAAAAGTGAGCTTTATTTACCCAATAGGCCATGAAATCTAATCTCTGGAATTGCATTATCTTGATGGAACATTACCTTTTTGGGCTGGAACTCAGTTCAATGTTTTTCCTTGATAGCAGCATCAATATGGACTAGCATCTATCTCCCTGTATACCTTACTATCAAAGATTTTAACTTTTTAAAGATATATAAATTTGTGGGTAATACCACTGCAATCTCTCCAAATACAAATTTGTGCCAGATTAGTGGAGGCCCAAACATGTTTGTCCTTATGTGCTTGAGTCAGCTATGCGGCATCGAGCAATTGAACTTGTACGTCAAGTTTATGCGATGCATAGTGTGACTAAGTACATAGCATTAACCTCTAACTCCTTAACAAGCTCTCGAGTGATTGCATACTGATCTTTCACAAATTCTTGTAGGTGGGCCTCATCCATATCAGTAAACCAGAATGCTCTGCTTCTTGAATGTCACAGTCCTTGTTTCTGAACTTTTGATACCAAAACCTTCACAGTGCCTATGATTAGTACCTAAAGCTATACACATGTTTTGATAACATTCTGTAGCTGACTTGTTGCAATAGAACTGAAAGTAAATGATGGTTCTAATCTTGTAGCACGATAGTTCCATTTCAGCCACCTTAATGATGATAATGGTTTTTTTTACAAATTTCACAACACAGTGTTCTAAAGCAAGTCTCTTTCTTTCAAATGGCAAAAAACATTTGACAAAATGTGATTAAACACACCAACATGAATTGTATGTACAGACGATGTTTGCGATGGCTGGAAGCTTTCGTTAAAACCCGATATTTTGTTAATTTAATTTCAAAACTATTAATTTCATAGTTACATCTGGAATCATAAAGATCAATGGCAGTGATTTTAAAGCTATTTTATGTTTTAGGAACTTTGGACTTGGAGCATTGAAATCAGAATCAAACGTTTTATCCCTTGATAGTATCCTTATTTAATTTTTTTTAATGTTAGAAGCATTTATAGACTGCTCTTTTAATTCTTTAAGTGAATGTTAGTCATGGTATGATATTCTAATAAGTTGACATTCACTTCTATCATCAACACTATCTAGTGAATTGCCAACTCTGCGAGCTGTTACTACTCTATGTAAGGTATGTATCTTCCAAATTGTAACTGCATTGCATAGTAATTTAAAAACAGTGCACTTATCATTTATACTATTAGTATAAAAATGTTTCTTATGCTTCTATGTGCCACTGTTATCAATCATTTAAATTATGAGGATTTGAGGCTGTCTGTCAAAGAGAAAGTATACCTTCATGGCATTTTTTTAGAAAAATTGATTTGAATCCACATTATATACATAGGAAACCATGAAAACTCTCATGCAGCCAGCTTAGCCTGTTTACTGAGATTTTAATCTAAGTTGAATTATCGGTAGTTGTCAGCTGGTGGACAGGATTGTTATAGAATTTAGCCATTAATGTAATTAAATTAGTTTAGCATTAAAAACATTTTAAAATTATTATATGTTATAAACAGAAGTATTTGGAGATTTGAATTTTTTGTGGGGTTAGAAACCAATGAAAATAAAAATGATTAAAGTAAAAATTCAAAAATAACTTTGTTAATTACTTACTCTAAAGGTAATATGGTATTTTGGGGATATTAGTTGACATCTGCCTGTATACCATAGCAGTGCAATGACTTAATCATAACAGTAAGACTCATAGCAACATTTTTTCTGTAAGTATTGTTGAGAGTTTTGAAACTATTTCATATCTTTCTAGAAAAATGCTATTTTAAAATTTTTTCTGTTATTCTTAGTAGGATCAGGAAAAGTTAGGATTTTTCTGTTGGTTATTCTAATGTTCAGATAAGTTAGAACAAGTGCATGGCTGTAATGCATACACTTTTTGGGAAAGGCAGGGGGTGTCCCTATTCCTGTGGAAAGTTTTCAGGTTGATTTGGAGTGTATATTAATTTTTACTACATTTTATGTCAAATATTTATTAGATTCGTTGAGAAATAAAGCAGAAGCAATCTTTTATTTCCAGGCATGTGGTGTTTTCCAAAAAGTCTTCAGTGCTGTAATTTTTACACAACAAAATTCTTCCTATCAGAAGATGTACAGTAAAAATGTAAGAACTCCTGCCTGCTTGGTTGGTATTAGCATATGAATTTCAAGTATTAGAATAAGAATTGGGTATTAGTTCTAGAAAAGCTTCTAGCCTTGTTATGTAGCTGAGCTCAAGTGGAGGCAGAGACAAGTTGTGGAGAACTTACAATCAAGTTGATGAGATTTTGAATGTGGTTACCAAATAGCACCCATTGGAAACAAACAAACAAACAAAACCATGTTTAATTGATTTATTAGTGCTGTAAATATACTTCATCATCAAAAGGTGACAGTAAATTGTTGTTAAAGTATTGATGATTCCAGTCAATGCCCAATTACCAATAAAATATGGGGATTTATAGTGTGAATGAATTCGTTGGTGAAGGAAGTAATATTATCTGGTAGATGAGGTGTTTCCAATATGAACATATGGAATCAGTTACTTAATTATAATGCTTATATTCTGTACTTAATCAGCTTTTCTTAATTTTCTCATGTAATGTTAACATGAACCAATAAGTATCCTTTATCTCTTTGAGGGGCAGGAAAAGGCAGTTAACTTTTTCAGCAAAACATTTTTTTAATTTACTATATCAAGTATTACAATGAAATTATTTGCGACAACTACACATATTTTGTCTAAGACGCCTGAAAAAAATGACCACTTCTGGTGGTTAGTATCAGTGACCACCGCCCACAGAACACATTCCTACAAATCAGTCTCTAAAATACTCGTGGGAACAGTTTTTCTTTTTCAAGCAGCATGCAACTTTGCATATGCTGCATTCCTACACTGTTCTTATCGGCTTTCTCTTGGTGCTGCAGAGTGCACATCGTCGTGATGCTTATTTTCTTGAAGACTAATTGCTGCATCAACTACTGGCTTATGTTTCTGGATTGCCGTCTAGCGACCCACAAGGGGAACTTCAGAAATGGTCAGTCTTGAAAACAACTCACATGAGTGAGTAAGATGTTCAATAGAAAAAGTGGTTACTGTAGGTAACCATCACCCTTCAAAGAGTTATAAATTCCTCCTGCAGAGGCATCTCTCCCTAAGACAAATAGCCTTTGCATAATTTGCTAGTTAATTATTAGATAATTTACTAATAATGATGGTGCAAACTGTAGTCTACTGTGGTTACATTTTTGTTGCATAAATAATTTAATGTGGCTGCATTAATAATAAAATACAAGAAAAGTCCAGTAAATGAACATATTTCATGCATTATGATGCCAGATTATCAAGCTAAAATTGTATAATACCATATAAAGACTTTTCTACCTTAATTACTATTTTTAATAATGGGAAAAATTGCATGTTATGATTGTTTGAACATATTCAATGAAAAAACTATTAGTAAATAAATTTATTCGTAGTTTAACAATATTTAAACAGTACTGGATTTGAAGTCATGTATATTGTTAGTGTTTGAAATTCAACTGTCCATTTGTTTCATTGATTCCGCTCTTTAAAAGAATCATTCTGTAGAATATGAATATTCATCATTTCTCAGATATTATATTTCTTTATTTTTTCAATGAATTTTTCTATTATATTTAATGCTTCACGTGCCCTATGCCAAGTAATCTTGATTAGTTGCTTTGGTTTATTTGATGGCAAAGCAAAGGTGACTATGTGTGTAAGGAAAGGGATGCCTTCGTAAAGGATATGCTAAGGGAAGCTGGTTCACATCTATTTTACACATGGCCAAAACCATGAAAACACCCTTGCAGTCAGCCCGGTTTCCAGGGTTCAAATCTCAGTAGAACTACCAGCTCCCTGCAACATTACTGCTTGGCCACTGGTGGGCTGATTTTGATTGATTCTTCTTCGTGGTCACTATCCATTTCTTTTACTATCTGTGGCTTCAAAACACTTTGATTTGTGATGTTTTCATTCTGCTTTCATAATTGGCTCATTTTCGATCATATATCTATAAAATGTTTAATTCGTGGTTATTATTATGGTTATAGTATGATTATTATCATTATTATGGTTATAGCATGATTATTGAAAAGAAGATTTTCTATTTTTTGGTAACATGAAGTAGGTAGTCGTTGAATTAACAACACTTTTGATAGAATTTTGCTTCATAGAATTTGGTCACAGTTTTCTCCAGTCCATAGTTCAATCCAAAAATTGTGTCCCTTTTATGGAATTGCACGTAATGTATAATGCTGCAATCAAAATTCGATGTATTTTGCGCACTATTCCTATATTTAAATTTTAAGTTTTGAATCATTCTTTGATATGGAAGATGGATTATCTAGTTGATTTGTTCCACATTTCCATTTTACTTCCTTATCAACATTTTTATCAAGCTTTGAAAACATTGTAAGGCAATAAAGACAAAAAAAGTAAATGATATATAAACATGGAATTTTGAACAAAAGACTAATTGAAAAGGGCTAAAAAGATGAGAAACATTTGCTAGTCCTTTCTGAATATTGTAGAATAAAGTGATAGTAATGCCATTATCTGGCAGGTTTCGGTGAAAGGGATACTGAATTATCAGGTGTACTGAACAATTCAATATTGGATTATGGGTGTTTTACAGTAATAACTCTTAAAAATACATTCAAGATGCATTGCTGCTCAAAAGTTTAATCAGACATGAATATTTAAGAGTTTTGTGAAGTAAATAACTGTTTTATTGCATGAATAATGCATTAAACTAATTATGGGCTCCAAATTCCTTCTTTTGTGGATGTGATCTTTAGTTGCAGCATCATTTTGTAGTTACATTAGCCTTATAGTGTAATTTCATTTTCTGCTTAAATAAAAGTTTTCTTTATAGATATTATTTTCTCTGAAAATTTTTTAGTAGAATTTTGTTCATTATCTTGCAGTATTCAAATTGTAAAATCCATTTCAGTTCCTTCATAAAAAATAGCCAATGTATAAAAATCTTACAAGAACAATGTGTCTGGATTGAAAAATAATGAATCTTAATGTTTGGTGCATTTTGCAGTGGGAGGTTGCTTCTGGTGCACTTATGCGCATTTCACTGTTGTCTTTGTGCATTTCAAATTTTTAATAATTGATTATATTGTTGTGTATAGGAGTCTTTTGTTAGTTACTAAAAAAATTTGTTTTTTTAATTTCTGCCATTTACAGAATCAGTGATTCATCTAGTTTCAAGCTGGGGGGAGACACGATAAATAGAATGTGCATTGAGAAATATGTGAAGTTAATATAGGCCAAAAACTTTCTATTGCCAGACAAAAATTATTGATTATAAGCTATATTATTATAACCATGCATTTTGTGTTATCATCAAGCATTATACATGTTGAACATCCCATTATATGTGAAATATATTCTGATATCTAAAGTTTCATTTTGGGTGAACAATGAATCTCATATATAAAATCTGATTTTCATCAGTACTCAAAAACTAGAATGTACAAAATTTTAGTTGAAGTTAGCAGTTTTAAATTAATTTTTAAATAAATATTCATATTTATTCACAGTATGAGTTCTTGCCAACTGAATTATGGTAAAATAACCTTATTTCTGACATGCTTGCCTTTATCAATTAAGAATTTTTATTAAAATTCATTTCATTGTTCATAAAATTTATTAAATTATACTAGTATTTAAAATTTGATACTAATGGTTGGAAAAGTAAACCTTTTATTAAAAATTGTTACCCTTTCATCATCCCCTTACAAATAAAAATCCGAAGCAGTTATGATGTTATACAGTCTTTAAACAATAAATATTCAAAATTGTTAGGTCTCCAATACTTAAAAAATTTCAATTTCAAGTATAATAATAATAGTTTTGGTTGTTGTCCAGACTTTATATATTATAATGGCTCTCAGATATTTACATATTACTTTTCAAGAATGTTAAGTTCCTATGCTTATTTCAGTACTGTAATGTATTTATTTGCATTGAAATTTTAAGCATCTGTTTTGTTTTAAATTATTATCTAAAGCATAAATAGAATTAATATGCTGTATTAAAATAGAGAAAATGAAAAATCATTTTAACTATTCAAATATATCTGTATTTTGTTAGCCCTAACATTTTGAAGATTTACTCTTCATCTTATTTTCTTCAAATTTCATTGGAGTTGTTTTTAGCAGGTCATTGCATTATCAGTTTTATGTATGGTATTTTTTTACTCTTCCACATTTGCTGTGGTCGACTAATTACAATCCAGTTGTTAAGTGAGTACTTATTTAGTATTTCTTTTTTCAAATTCAAAGTTATTAATATATGTAAAAATTATATTTATTCCAAACTGTAAAAATGAAGTAATATAGTTAAAGCAGTTATTTTAATTTTTATATAAAAGCTTTTGAAGCATGACAATAACCTGGTAATGTAAGCTTACTATTATGGCTTAGTTACTGTCAAATTCAGTATCAAACTTCAAGGGATTTAAAGTTTTGTTTGCTATACCTGATTCAATTAAAAAAGAAAGGAAAAGAGATGGTTTTGCAAAAAAGTGCAAAAATTGATTGAATTAATAATAATATATGTTATCACATGTACCAAAAGAAGAGAATAATAACCCTAATAAAAGAAGTTATATTAAGGGTTAATTACAATTAATAACATGTAGCTATTAAATCTTTCCCCCCTTTTTTTTTTCTTTCTTAATTTCACCATATGTTAAAATTGCTTAACACATACATCATTATTATGGATTAAACTCGTCCCCTGAAGTATATCTCTCTGAAATAAAATTTACAATTATGAATAATCATTTTCAAGATATAGTATGCTTATTGTGTTAGTTTTTTAAAAATTGGGTTTTATGACTGCATTGCAATCCTTTGTGTAAACTTGAATGATTTTAATGATTATTAATATTTCATCTTAAATTTAAAAAAAAAAACTGTTAAAATTCATTATATCTGATTTTTATTTGTTTGAAGATTTGTTATAGCTGTTTAAAACAACATTATATGCATAGAAATTGGACTAGACCCAAAAGTTATATGAAGGGTTATTTGTTTGTTACATAGTTGGACAAAATGTAATTATAGTTACATTGTATGTCAATGATTTTTCAGTTATAATCAAAATGTATTTACAGTTAAATTGCAACTATAATTGTATTGTAATTATGAAATCTAATTGTAATTACATTGTAACTGTGAAATCTAGTTATGATGTTATTGCAATGGGTAATTATAATTATATAATTAGGAAAGTAATTGCCATTAATAATTTCAATTACATGACCTAGAGAAGTTATGTTCATAATTGAAAAGTTGCTAAATAATACAACGGAATAATTCCATGTGTTTTATTACTTTCTGTTTGGAATCATCCTGCATAACTTCTGCATATAAGGCAGTTTGTAATAGCAGTATAAAATATAAACTAATCCTTTCTTAAATAATATTTTTATCTTTTGTAAATATGTAAAAAAAGTATAGATAAAGTAGAATGTTTTTACAAGAACTAATTTTAGCTGTTTCTTATTGAACTAAACATGTATAACTTTGTTAAACAAATATATATATGTTTATGATATTCGCCAACAGACATTTGGCTTTGAATTATTTGATTTAAAGAAATCAAACAAGACTGTACACTTGTGAAAAGATGCCTTTATGGAGGATTTGTTAGCAAAACTGGTCTTCTTTTGTATTACACAGGAAATAAATCATAAAAACTTCCTTTAGCCTTCCGTTTTCAACAAAAGAATCTGTAACAGGGATAAACTTATTTCTATACAGTACAAAGTCTGTAATCCGGACGTCCATTATCCGGAATGATCTATAATCCAGACCTTAAAGCCACAAACCTTTTTTGTGTATGCTTTATGCATGCACGCATATGCATTTAATGCTACCAATGCACGTTTAATGTTTATGCATGCACATTCAGCACAAAAAACGAAGCAACATAAACAACTTACATTAAAAGAAATGTTTAATAAAGTAAACAAATAAATATTAATTTATATACCCTTTAGATCATAATTGCTCTTTATTTCATAAATTACGGTTTCATATTTTTAACTGTATAATTTCTGCATGTCATCTTACCAGATTTAAATTGATGATCTATAATCCGGAAAAACCCTTAATCTGGAATTGCCGAAGTCCTGACGAGTCTGGATTATGGACTTTGTATTGTACTCTTATTTTACTGAATCCTGGATGATATTATCTTGTAAAAAAATTACTCTTATTCATTAGCATCCAGCTTAATTGCTATGTGCATTAAAGTTTCAGTAACAGTGTTGATTACAGATTAGTCTATTATTAAATACAATAAATTTTTCAATGAATAGTTCAAATGCATGATAATACAAAGTCCAAAATCTGGAATGATCTAATATAAAAAAATAATAAAATTATAATTAAATATAATGATAATAATAGTAATAATAAATTGGAAAGGGGTTCAGATTTAATTAGTACTCAAAAGAGCTGTTTAAAATTTAATATGGTTTATCAGTAGAGATTATTGATAGAGATGGAGATGCTTAAATTGAACAGCAAAACATTTTATAGGGTATTAATTGAATGTGCATTTGCCAATATCACGGGAATATTCTTTATCTTCTGTATTATTTAAAAAGTAATATATATATATATATATATATATAATGTAATTCTGTAAAGTGCTTAATGCTCTGTAAAGTACTTTAGGGAGAAGCATACCTCCTTCCAAGTGATCGTACAAGTGTTTGATAGGATTAAGGTGTAGCAACTAACCTGGCTACTTCATGTTACTGCTTTACCTTAAATATCAGCTGAGAGGTTTTCTGAGACAAATAGCATTATTTTATCTTTAAAAAATTACTATTTTTAATTAGCTGCAGATTATGAATTAAATGCATTTTTATTTAAATCAATCAGATTGAAAAGTAAAAAAAAAAAAAAAAAAAGGTAATATTCTGAATAACTGCCTCCATGGCTTTTAAATAGTTTAGTTTGTTAATTAATAGCAGATAGATTAGATGTGAAAGAATAATATCTTGCTTTTTCTGAGTGACAACAGACTTGAATGAAAAGTGAATTAATGCCAAACTGTGTTTCATGACTAATAGTCCTTTTGGGTTAATAAAATAAAATGTCTAGAATTGCCCAATATAATGACATAGGAAGCAGGTGTAATGTAATGTAATATATGAGTGTGCTGCAGCCATCCTGGCTGATAATGATCGGCCTCGTGGTTAATGCAGCAAAGACAAACAAAAATAGAGTTAAAAGATTAAAACAGATGTATGGTCTAAAACATCAAATCAAAATTCCCAGTATTGTTTGAATGTGACTTTTCTCTAGACCAACTGAGATTTCTGTATGCCACTTTCAAATACATGCTAGCTAGGAAGTCACAACATGACCAATAACAGTACATTAATAGGTGCTGTATTGATGCTGCCTACTATCATACTTTTGGCCCATAAGTGGTTGTGCTAGTTTTGGCCCTTGAGTGGTTGTATAGCTGATTAATAATTGAATTACAATGTAGTTGCAAATTCATTTACAACATAATTAAAGTACTCATATTTGCAATTGCATTTTAATCATTAATTAATTATATTGTAACATAATTATGCCTAATTTTGATTAATTACAGTCTGAGTTCTCTATAACAAGATTTGGCTATAATGGGAATCTTAAATTTCAGTTGAAATAACAGCACTAAAGGTCCTTGAAATTTTTTAATATCCACCTCTCTCAATCTTCTTTGTACTGTAGTTTTGTATGTGCAGGTGGGGTATTATTTATTGTCAAAATTTTGTACTTAATTCACACAGTTGTCAAAGTATAAAAATATATTTTGATTTTGAATTTATATGAGGGTATTAAAATTACAAAGCAAAAAATCTTGTTAGCTATATACTTTGCCATCTAAAACTTAAGGTACAAAGAATTTTTATCTGAAACATTTGAGGGAATGATAGGAACATGAAAATTGTGCAGCTATTGGCAACATAATTAATTTGTATATATTTTTTTTTAATATTTGCACTTTTCATGCTTCTAGATTTTTGTTTAGTTTATGTGATTGCTGAAATATTCTGAGGAAATAGAGCTTGACATGGGATTTGGTAAGCCTTAACATGAAACTGTTGAATTATCATGCTGTCTATTGGTTTTTCAAATTCTGCCTTAAATAAGAAATGCTAAGCAAAATTATTCTTCTATTCCCATTCATTTAATGGTCTTTAGGGAGAACCATACCTCCTTCCAAGTGGTCGTACAAGTGTTTGATAGGATTAAGGTGTGGCAACTAACCTGGCTACTTCATGTTACTGCTTTACCTTAAATATCAGCTAAGAGTTTTTCTGAGAGAAATAGCATTATTTTATCTTTAAAAAATTACTATCCAAGGAAATCTCTGATCTGATAAATCAACTAAGCACTTTATTCATCTGCCTGAAAATCCATTCATGAGGATAATTCTTGAGAAAGAGATTTTTGGATTCCATTCCTTGCAGTCCTCTATCAAAATTTTTCATGAAATTTAAGCAAAAATCCCTATGTGCTTTACCATTGTTGAATAATCCAATCCCTTAATCAGTATTACAAACATTTCATATATTATAATGCAAATCATAGTGAAAAATATTTAAATTTTCTATAATGTACATTGTCAAAGCTGACATTTGGCCATCACTGTTTTAAATTGTAGTTCAATGTATCTCTAACTTTTCTGAGTTGCACAGGAAATTATAATCTCTGGTCCTATGTAATAATTAACCACTTAATAACAACAGGTTTCCTTAATAATCATCATTTACGTTTTTATCTTAATTTTAAATTCTTTTTTTTTTAATACTCTGATTAAAATATATATTTACATTCCACTTACTGAAAATTGGCATTCTCACTACAGGTGACAACCACAGTAACTGGGTTGTATCTATCATACTAGGTGACCTGTAGTGCATGTATCTTATTTATCATAATATAACACATACATCAGGGTTATGTTTATGTGGATGTAAAATTGAATAGCTGTCAGTGTTCTGTTATGAGAATTCATTGCAATGAAATGCTGACTATCAATAAATGGGAAATTAGACTGTTTTAATTGAGAAATGAGACAAGATTGTTAAAACTACTTTTGATTTTGAGCAGCTTGGTGACGTATCAGCTGTTGCACCAAGAAATAGATCCAAATACCAGCAGCAATTGCAGAAGTGTACTTTTTCATTGGCAATATGATATTTTTGTATGCAGCAAATCATAGTTTGACTCTAAAGCTTTTTTACTACTCTCAAGGTTATTGAGGCTGCAGTGCTATCAGATTTTTAAACCTTACTAGCAGATGGTGCCATAAGATGGCAGAAGCAAAGTGGACAAATGTTAGGTCTGCCACAATTGTATTCGGAGTAGGCTAGTGATCAGTAAGAGATCTGATTGATGTTCTGTAACAATTTAATAATATTCTAATTTAGTATGCTGTGGCTGTTCTTAAAATTCATTGGTAGTTGATCATCAGATGAGAGCAGAAGGTAATCAGTCTACTGTTTAGCTGGTGAACAAATTATTGATAATTATATAATAAATATTCCAATAAATAATATTTGTTTAGATTTCATTTAGATAATAATAATTATATTTAATTTGATAATTTAGATTTGTAGTTTATAATTGAAGATTAAACTTCTTATAATAGGTTTTTTTTGTTATCAAATTAAATTAATGTGTGCTTATTAAAAGTATTTTAATTTTTTTTTATAATAATGTCTTGTTAAAGTTAAAAATTAAGTCCAGCTTCTAGGAAATCAAATTACATCGCCTGAAACTTTAATAGTTGTATTACTGTTATATATGTAATGTGCTATGGAAGGAAACAAGTTTTTCCTGCTTAGATAACATGTAGTTCAATACATACTTTCCCTTCTACATCTGTGTACAAGGGCCATAATGAAAAACATGAAGTCACTTTGATAGGTGCTATTTTGAAGTTGTGTAGTTACATTGAACTCTTAAAAATGCAGAAATTTCTGCAATAAGACACTGGTCAAACCCACTTGAAGTGTTGTGAATATGAAGGAGAGGTTTTCTTATGCTTATATCAATAGGCTGGAAGAGACTTAGACCAAATTATATGAGTCAAAAATATTGAAACAAAAAATCTATCAGATACCTAGGAGTGTGAAGGTTATAATGATTTTTATATGTGACTGTAATAGCATTATCCTAGTGTATGCCATATCTCAAGGACAGATTGTCATTGGTCAATATTACTGCTCATTTTTTTAAAAAAATTTATCTTGCAGTGAGTACTGCAAAAGAATGACACTTCCTGTAGTATCTTCCCATCAATTTTAAGGACAGGGTTTGAATGCATGTAGTGGAACATGTAGCTTGTTTATTGAGGGTAAGAAGTGTTCCATCATCCATCATATTCCACAGATTTAAACCCTTGTGATTACAGTATCATTCATAGGCTGAATGAACCATGTCATAGCATTTGTATCTGAACTGTTCCAGAAATTCATCTGGTAATAAATCACTTCAATTGAATCATCAACAGATCAGGTATTGCTAAAGGTACCCTATGTTTTCACATCTCTAGCAGTGGAGAGTACATAATTTTGATGACTTCTTCAAAAGCCAATAAAAATTTCAGACTATCTCTCTTGTATAGTTGTAAACAAATAGTTGCAACTAATTCAAGTTCCAACCCTTGTTCACTTTGACAATAAAGTAATGAAATATATATATTTGGTGCTAAGGTATTACAAATAAAATAACTCAAATAGAAAAATAATAAGGCATTCTTCAGTTACTAACAGAAAATTTAAAATTGATGTTAATGAATTTTCATATCATTGAAGTAAAAATTCAAAAATTTTCAAAGTACTCTCTAACTATTTAATTAATGATTATTTTGCTGCAGCATGAAACATTCTAAGAAAAGGTAAATGTGTTTTGCAGAATTATAAGATGGTCAATTCTGTATGCTATATTAAATTATCAATCACTGAGATCTTTCAACTGTAATTTAAAATAACTTCTATTTTAATTCAAACAATATTCAAGATTTTTGGTGGTAAAAAATGTTAAAGGAAAGAACAGACTTATTATTTCAAACAGAGATGTGCTTTATAGAGCAGAAGTCTTTGCATATATTACTTTTGTTGTTTCTCTAACATTTCTGTTTTTTTAACAGGCTTTGCATTCTTGGAACTTTAGAATTGTGCTGGAATACATATCCTTCTACCATACTCAGCAGTGGCCTTCTACATATTTGCCATTTCTTAGTATTGTGTAAATTTATACTTTATCAACCACCTGTGGGTGATAAGAAGTGCACAAAATGTACATAAAGAATACTTGAGAGTGCTGCTATGTTGTATTTGCCAAGTTTATTTTTGTTGAAATGTTTGTATTTTTGTGAATTGTCTTTTATCTTAAGAAAACGTATTGAAAAATTTATTTATTATGTATTTTATCAAAGACTTCTGAAATGATCAGATCCGAATTATGAATTTACATACCAAAAAAAAATAAATATGTATATATATATATATATATATATAATATATATATATACACAACATATTTTGTGTACTAATCCTTTCTCATTTTCAATAAATTTATTGGGACTTGTGTTTCGTCCCCTTATATTAAAAAATTTACTTGCAGTTTTATTCCTAATTTTACCAGAATATGAATAAAATAAATGCTTTTATTTAAAGTTGAAACCAGTATTTTTTAAAACAAGTTTTTCTCTATGCCTTGTCCTTTTATGCTCCCAAAATTACTTTCCCGAAAGGTAATTCATTCTGGAAGGCTGTTGTTCAACCAAAATGTTAATAAACTATAACAATTTTCCCTATAGAAAACTTTTGAAAGTGGGATACAGCAAAATTTATCTAATGTTTTTTTCCTGTCTTGTCATTTGAGTCTCTTGGTACTGTCGGTTCCACTATTGTTTGGGGTATTTTGGATGTCTTGTATACATTTTGGAGTAGGAAACTTAGCTGCCTGCATAATAGCCTCAGCGCTGGTTTTCACTGCAGTGTTTATGGGCACATTGTTCACCATATTTTCAGTGAGCTCTGCGTAGGAGGAAAGATCCCAGTCTACTTTCTTCAGTATGAAATGTTGAGGTCTACAAATAGGCATTATTTCTTTATCTGCAAAAGTAACCAAAAGGGGGAGGGATGCTCGCAGTTATGTAGATAATTTCTGACCTCAAATTTGCATATGGGAACAGATGGTGAATAATAAAATCAATGCTGTGAAGGGTCTTCGTAGGCGGGTGGAAGTAAGTTTGCTCTCCACTACGAAAGAGGCAAAGAGAATGGTCACTAATCATATGCCTACCAAGTGAATTTTTATCTTTACTTCCTCAAAGAGGATTGTGGCTGTTGAAATCATATAGGAGGATAAAGGGTTTAGGCAACTGCTCCACTAAACCATCCAGATAATGCTGTTTAATGTGCTCACTGAGAGGTAGATATATCAAAATACTGAAATCTGCCTTCTAATATTAATTTACACCGCAACAGCTTGGAGGCCGAATGGAAAGATGAAGAATGCTTGATGGACAGTCAAGCAGTATGAGGAGACCTATACAGTCACTGAACAATCATTATAAACCTTACCTTTTTCAACAAAAGAACACCTATAAGGCTTAAAATGCTGTTCAACTTTCAAAAACATATCTTGTGTCGCAAAGCAGTTAAGATGATGCTTATCAATTAAATCTTTTGTATGTATGCGATATTTGTTTAATCTAAAACAACAAAGTAGCCATTATGAATGTCTCTCGTACCTATGCTTCTATTTTCATTTTAGACTCAATATCATCAGAACACATGCTCTCTAATGAGCTTATGCTCATCGTATAAGATTTTGATTTCTTTGATGGTTTTTCTTTTGTATTTTCAGGTTTTTTACTCCCTTACACGAAGTAAATGAAGTATTGGAATCGGGAAATATTATTGGAATATTCATGTTTTCAGTTGTTTGTGACTTGCTTCCTCGGATAATTGAGAGTACACTGTACTTCAATTTCGAAAATGTTCTTTCAAAGTGTTAAATACTCCCAAATACATATATAAATCCCCGTGCATGGGAATTTAATTGACCGTATTCATCTTTCAAAAGCTATTTAAAGAGATAGGTTAAATCTATTTCTTTAAACATCATTTTTAGCATATCATAACTTTTTATTTTGCTGACCAGTCCCTACCAGCTGAAGGTCTCACGAAAGCTCTTCCATTGTGCAGTCAAATGAATTTGAAAATATGAAAATTTTATTTTTGCATCATGATTCGTCAAATACTGTTGTAACTGCAGTTTAATATCTGAAAATGTATTTGCCGTGAATTAATATGAGAATGGGGATTTCGATAACATATGAAATTTTGTACAGCATGGAAAAGGGGCAGATTTATTTAATGTGAATTGTGTTTCGAACGTTGAAAATTCTCAGGGATTTGTCTTTATGATGACTTATGATAGAATACATTTCATATGTGAGCTCTGTTTATCCTGCTAATTGTAACTCTTTAAGATATCTCACGATATCTGTAGCAAATGCTAATTTCTATAGGCATTCATTGTATAGTGTAATGGGTAGTTTTTCTCATTTGGAAAAATTTCTCTCACTTTTGTGGGATTGCAAACTCTAAATAAAACCTTTCCATACTGAGGTCATCGAAGTGATGTATGATACGGTAAGTCGGAATATTCGGCATCAATCCGTAATAAAAAAAATACGGAACTGACGATAGTTAAGAACACGAGAGTGATAAACTGAGGTATTACAGCCAACAGCCTGTTGGTGAATAATACAGTGCATTATCACCAGTTTGGAACATATAGTTCCTTAAAAAGCTTTAAAAATTTGTCAACTAACTGTTACCATATCGTTACCGCCATCAAGTTGCCACAAGTTTTAACTAGTCTCATAATACCGTAAAAGAGTATCTAAACTGTTCTCTGATAGATTGTTTACACCAATCGGAGTGGACTGAAAATTCGCCTCCATTTGTTTACGAAATGGATACGGACGTGGCAGCTGCAGTACTTGAAGTCTGCGAAGCAGCTTCAAACTAATTAATATCTGTTCTTGAAAAAAGAAGAAGAAAAGTAAATGGGCATGTGACTGGGTAGCTCTCCACGATGAATTGGGAGTATCAATTGAACTATTAAATGAAGTTCGTGACGAGAATATCCAAAGTTTGTAAGGGAAGTTTTACTAACGTTTATTTTATTTGAAAACTTTACTATGCTTTCTTATTTTCCACTTCCGGTCAGAGTTAAATGTGTTAACTTGTTTATGCAAATTGTACTTGCTAACACCCAAGTATTTAAGTTGTGGCTTTTTGCCAAGAGTTAGAGAGAGAGAGAGAGAAGTGAGCTGCCTTGCCACTGCATTCTTATGAGTTTTCAATCAGTTGCTGCTTGCCTTAGTTTTTAGAGCCAGAGGTTTAGTCCTCTTGATATTTAAAACGTATTGTTGTTTCCGCAGTTTGCATACTACCTACGGAACCTTTTAAAAAGGCCAGTCTTACTGTAAGACATTTGTATACTAATTCAAAGTTAGCTTTTAGTTAGAGTTTTAGTTATTAGTTTCATATTTTTACATTCAGACCACAGTAGTTGGTCTCTGTATTCCAAAGTACGGGAGCACCAGTAAAGTTATAGAGAATAAAGGGTTCAGTATATCCTTCCTGCTTGTGTCGTCTATTCCACACATACTGGAACATAGCTTTAGTAAGCTCTCTGTTCCTATTCAGGATACATTATATTTCCAAAGCAATTCAAAAGATGTACAAGTCCTGACAGTGGTGCCCGAAGAAGAATAACCATGACCGATGTACAAAAATTAATTAACGAAGCAAAGAAAAACACAGTAGTAGCACAAAGAAAACAGAAGTTATATTATGACATGAAACGACGGAGAGTAACTTATAAGGTAGGGGACGAAGTGTTAAAAATTAAGCATTCACTTTCTTCAGCACCAGAAGATAAAATAGCGAAGTTCTGTCCACGATTTGAAGGACCATATGTGGTCGAAAAAGTAACTCAGGCTGTAGTGGTTTTAAAAGCCAAGAATGGTGAAACGTTCACGGCAAATATTGATCAAATCAAACCCTTTTATAATCGTAATAAAATGCAAATATTTAAAGATCTTTTGCAGCATCCGGCATGGCAGACACAATCTCCAGAGGTGGCACAGCGACAACCGCAAGAGTCAGCTACGAGTAGAGAGCTAAACAAGAAAAGAAAGTTCCCCCATTGGAATACTGAAGGTAACAAGAAAAAGAAGCCATTTCCCCGACCAGAAAAGAGAAGGCACGACCGCTCCCAACACAAAGAAGGGTAAAGTTCTAGTAATGCAAAGAGAGCCAGGAGAAATGGCCGCAACCATAACACTGCTAAAAAACGGAAGAGTGAACCATCGGATAGAATTCTATGTAGCAAATGTCCGCGAATCGACCAGGGAAACCCAGCTGCAGATGGAAGGAAGCAACGAAAGTTTGAACAGCGAGCAACTAGATCCAGGGAACAACTGGAGAGAGTTGTTTCGATAGTTCCAAGGACAGCCCCATCAAGCGTCCGGGAGTACAATCAGCAGTTAAGAAGAAGGTTTTCAAGGGCCATCAAGCATGCCAAAAGAGGAAACGCATTGAGGAAAAAACTGAAGGGAAAACCCGCACAAAACGTAGGATAAACCAGACAGTGGTCTTTGCTACCTTCCGGGACTGGGGGGCTAAACCGATGTCTGAATACCACAAAGATAAGTAAAACTTTATGTTACTTTGAAACTTAAAGTTAATTTTTGTTCTTACTGCAAGTCGCAGATTGTAAGAAAAAATTTTACCTCATGTGAGGTCTACCTTTATTGCCAAAAAGGCAAGAAATTGAGTTTACCTATTTGTTACTATGTTTTTCAACTACTTGTGAGTAATCTAAAATTATTGTATAATAGTAATGTGTAAATACTTGGGTATTGTAAAAGCTTTTGTAATTTATAAGAAAGGTACCTTAAGAACATTGTAAAATATTGTATAAAATTTTATTTAAAAGATTCTGTCAAGAAAAGAAGTTTTTAGTCTGAAGGACTTTTGAAATGTAGTATTTCAAATGTAGAAGAATTAGCACTTGCTTGAAAAGAATAGAAGTTAACAAAACATTTTACTACTAATGTATGTTTTGAAATGCGTAAAATTAATGGCATGTTAATATGGTTTATGTACAATGTGAACTGTTATCTTAAAAGTTAAGAAGTACTGTGATATGTTAAAAATGAAAATGTTGTCTAAATACCAAAGTTTTAACTTATTGGTATGACTGAAAAAAAGAGTTACGCATTGTGAATATGTGCTAAATGTTGAA